GCGAACGCATCAAATGTTCTGCGGCGCTGTTGAAGAGAAGAGAGCTGAGAGGGTCCCCCTGTTTCACGCCTCGCTGTATAAAGAAATTCTTGCTAACATGGTCAGTGCGCATGGCTCCTGTCTGTTTGGAACGCAGCCTGCGTAAGAGATCTATGCGTGGTCGTTGGACCCCCTGGACTGCAAGGGCCGCCCAAATGCTCTCATGCGTGACGCTGTCAAACGCCTTTTTGAAATCAATTGTCGCCACCCACAAAGGTAATTGCCACTCGTCAGCAGTTTCTTGCAGCATAGATAACGTGAAAAGGTGGTCGGCGGTGCTCCGACCCGGGCGAAAGCCAGCTTGGTCGGCGCTCTGGTTTGCGTCGAGGACATCGTGCAGCCTGTTCTACAGGAGTCGGGAAAACAATTTGTATAATAGCGGAATTGTGGCAATCGGTCGGCAATTTTCCGGCAGCCGTGGATCCCCACTTTTGAACAGAACTTTGATGTCAGTGTGTGACCACGTTGCTGGTATAGTAGCGCCCGGCTGTAAGATGGCGTTAAAGAGTGCCAGTAGACTGGATCGTAGAGCTTGTCCTCCTGCCTTGAGCATCTCGGCGCTGATGCCGTTGGTGTCGGGTGCCTTCTTGTTTTTGAGCTGTCGGAGTGCTTCGCGTAGTTCACTGTCGGCGATTGGTGGGATGCACTCGGCCCCGGGGGCCTCTCGGTCGGAGTGGGCGTGTCTACCCTTCGCGTCGTCCCGATAGAGCTGGCTGTAAAATTCTGCGAATACGTCGGCGATGGATTGTCTGTGGTGTATCGGGTTCCCACTGCTGTCGCTCACGCTGACAATGCGGTCCTTCTCTTTCAGCTGCTTGTACGCGCCGATGCGCTTCAAGTTATTATATTGAGAAAATATGTCGTCGATGTTTGCTCTCTGGGTTGCTCTTCTGATCGCCCGCAGTTCCCGTCGGATCCGTTTGGATACCAGTGACCGTGATTTGGAATCGCCTGCTGGTGTATCCCGTCGTTGGTTCAAGAGCTGCGTAGCAACGGCGTTGCATGATGCCTTCGCTTGCGCGTCCGCGGGTGGTTGGTGAGCCGCCAAAGTATCCAGAAGAGCCTCTTCGATCGCTTCACATGTGAGTTGAATATGTTCTGTGGCGTGTAATACGTCTAACTTGTCAACCAGTGTCTGCTCGTAGCTGGAAATATCAGTCGGTGGCCAAGCGAGTGGCGGTGCTCTCCGTTTCCGGCCAGGCCGTTTCGACAGAGTTCTCGCGGTGTGTATTCCCGGTAGGTCGCTGCATATCGCCACGGCACGGTGGTCGGATCCCATGTCGATTGCACGAGTCGTCCCACAATCCCGGATCGTGCGCCAAAGCCGTCGGTTACATAATATGTAGTCGATTTGTCTTGGGATCTTGCTTGGCCCCATAAACGTATGCCGCTGATGAGGTTGCTTTTTGAAGAAAATACTGGCCAACGCAAGTTTGTTGGTCGCTGCCCAATTCTTTAGCCACTGTCCCCTGGGGTTCATCCGTGGAGCTCCCCACAATCCGATTGATCGCCTGTCGTCGTCGTCGTCGTCGGTCCGTTCCCCTACCACGGCGTTGCAGTCAGTGCACAATACGAAATACATCCGCTGCACGTTTGCTTCGTCGCAGATACAGCCCAACACATCGTATGTATCCTGTGCGTGTTTGTCTCCGTATCCAGCGCGGGGGAAGTACGCCGTAGCCGCACGTATTTTGAAATATTTTCGAGCTATGTCGACATAGGCAATGCGCACGTTGATAGGTTTGAAACAAGATATTTGTGACATCCACCGTTTGTGCATCATGATTGCAACTCCCCGATGTGGCTTAGTATATCCAGCTCCTAGAAAAGCGTGTCCGCCAGGCATTGTCCAGAATTCTTCTTTGATGTCCCTCTTTGTTTCGTTAATGGTAATGACGTCCCAGTGAAGATTCTGCAACTCGCCCAGAAATTCCACCACTCTGTCGTCGGTGGCCAGTCCTCTGGTAATCAAGTGGATCGCTATAAACTTGTCTGGTAGTGGTTGATCGGCAGCGGCCTGTTGAGGGACAGTGACTGCATCTGGCCCGTGTGATTCCCAATGGCTCTCCCGAGGATTCTCGATTGAGCGTCGTGGGGGTGAAACTGGTGAAACTGACAATTGTGAAACAGCATTGAGCTTGGAGATGAATACTGGGTCGGAGCTGGAATCGGGCGTCGGAGTCGGTGCGACGCCGGGGTCGGAGGCCGGAGTCGAGGTCGGATGCCGGTGTGCCTGGTCGGAGCCGGAGTCGGAGGCCTGAGCGGCTGTCCACGCGACCTGCTTGTCGTCGCTGGCGTCGGTCTCTGTCCTGGGGCGACAAATCTCCTGAGGGTCAGATGGGGCAAATCTCAAAGACAGGGGTACGTCTCCAGGGGTATTCGACAATTTCCCCCTGCCGCCTCCTGCAGCACGGGCTGCTGGATATGCCACTGTTGCATCTCCTGCTGAGCTCCTGTTCTCTCCATTTACGTCTGAAGCGAAATTCCAAGAGCCGGCGTTGGAGGAAATGTGGTGGTCCTGATGTCGGGAATGGGAAACTGGGCAGATATGGGGGGCGGGAGTCGGATGAAGGGCGCGGTCGGCCAGGACTGACAAGACTGGGAATGGCGAGGTTGGTGGTGGGAGGTGGGAGTTGGAGTCTGCACCAAGGTCGAAGACCGGAGTCGATGTGTAGATGACCTCCTCGCTGTCGTCGGATTCGCGTGGTGTCCTGAGCAGGCGAGCATCCTGGGGATCAAATGAAACACGTCGGAAGCAGAGTGGGACATCCCCATAAACACTTACGTATTTCCCCCTGCCACCTCCTATGTCACGACGTGTGCCGGAATGCGTTGATCCAAAAATTGACCGTGTGGGGGTCGATGTCAAACTTGTATTGGTACAACTGTTTTTGTTTATCACCCGAGTGCCGTCGTAACGTCACTCGCTCTCGGTGGCCGGCTCAGGGTTGATCTTCTTGTGCCACTTCTGCATTGCTTCCTCTACCTGCTCTTCAACCACCCTGCCCGTTGCAGTCGCATGCCATGCCCCCTCCCGATCGTACCATGCAACCTTCCTCTCCTTTCCCAAACCGTCCCTCATCACAACCATGCTCTTCGCCCAAATAATCCTGGTCCCACGTTGTGAATAATCTGAATGTTCATTGAGATAGTGCTTAGTGTAGCCCAGCCTCTTGTCTCTGTCCCTCTCCTCCCTGGTGAGGTTATTCCGGAAGAAGACTGTACCAAATACTTTCTCGTCCTTCTTCAACGCGTCCTGGGCTTTTTTCCAAAACTCGACCTTTGCTGGAACACTTGGAAATTCAAGCATACCCATTTTTGTTGTGTTCGCCCCTGTCGTCACCGTCGCATGCGTACCATCTCCCAAAAGTCGTTGAAGTAATTTCTCGAGGCGGTCTACTACTGCTGCTGATGGTGTATTTTCTTCGAAGCCGAACGCAATTACCTGCTTGCGGCGGTCCTCGTTTTCCATCCCTTCATGCTTGTCCCCTCCTTCCGTCTTGAATCGATGCGTATGCGTGGTATGTTTGATTTTGTCGTCCACCATCTTACCTACCATTGTCTGTAGGTCGGTCTTTGTCACATACAACTCATCCATGTCGTGTCGTAATGCCTCCACCTCCATCTCCATTTCCTCCATGTTGCCCTTCACATCCTTCACCTCCTCCTTCGTTCTCTCAATATTATCCTCCATCTTGTTTAGCTTACGGCTGAGTTGCTCGAAACGTTTACCCTGGCGTTTTTTCGTACTCCTGGAACCAAGGTGGAGCTGTGCCCATCATCGCACTGTCCTTCTCACTCTCTTTCTCACGCTCCTCTCCGCTGGAAGCCGCTTCGAGGATCTCAAGTAAGTTGGTCTTCGCCCTGCGCGGGGCAGGCGTGGAGCCTGTGGCGCCACCATTGCACTTAGATGCCATTGGAGCCCAGGCACACGTGTGGTACGAGTGGGAAGGAAAGAGTAATGGGAAGCTGGTGAGAGAAAAGTGTGTATTGGCATGAGCTGTGTGGGCTTGAGCCGGCACTCAATCAAGCTTGAGCCAAAATGGCTACGGAACACTCGAACACTCGAGAAGGCCAGACACCTTTTTTTTTTTCAAAACTTCATTGAAATGAGCGGTTTGGGCTTCTTGGGGCTCTTTCGGAAGGCAGTTTGGAGGCTTGTAAAGGAGGCTATGAGGAGGCAGTCTGGAAGCCTTTGGGGGGCTGTTTTTCAAAGTTCGTGGGGCTCTTTTTGTGGTCTCCCAAGCGTCTGGGGCTTGCTGGGGGCCTCGGGAGGGTCCTGGAAGCGTCTCGGGAGCCTCTCGGGGTCTCCTGTTCCCCCTCTCGGGCCCATCTTGGGCATGTGCTGGGGCGCTTTGGGCGGTCTAGGGCTGCTCCTGGGCAGTGTCGAGCCTTTCTTGGGCTGTCTTGGCGCTCTTTTGTATGCCTTTTTGGCCGTCTTGGGGGTCTGGAGCGTTGGAAGTTCTAAAATGCGAGATGGCCAAAAACCTCGAACAAAAATAATGCAATTCAACGATATGTGCCTCTTGGGGCTTTCTCGGGGGGCCTCTTGGAGCTTTCTTGGGGTCCTCGTGGGCCGGGTATTGGATATCTTGGACCTGTTTGGGCTATGTCGGCGCCATGGCCGCCATCTGGGCTGTCTTGGGAGGCTCTTCGAGGCCTCCTCAAGCCTGCAAGCGCTCCGTGCCGCGTCTCGGGTACCGTCCAGGACGCTCCCAGGGCCGCTCGGGAGAGCGCCGGAGGCCTGGAGCCCCCATGCGCTGTCGGGGCCCCTTTTTTGGAGGCCCCCAGCCCTGTATCCGGGTATGTCTATATATATATAGATATATATATATATATATATATATATATATATATATATATATATATATACACACATACATGTCATTCTCTCTCTCTCTCTCTCTCTTTGCCTTCCTCTCTCCCTCCCCTCTCTCCCACCGTCCAGACGGGAGCGGCTCCGCCGACGAGCTCAGGCGGCGCCGCCCGCGCGCAGCTCTGCTCGCTCTGGACGTCCGCGGATGGCTGCTGAGGCGGGCGGCGGCGGGGCTGGGGCAACGGGGGGCAGGAGAAGAAACATGGGGGATGCTCCCCCCCTCCGTCCCTCCCTCCTCCCCTCACCCTCCTCCGCATCGCCTCCTCCCCCCTCCTCCTCCCTCCCTCCTTACACCTTCCTCCTCCCTCCTCACCCCCTCATCCTTTCCCCCCTCCCTGCTCATCCTCCTCCTTCTCCTCCTTCTCCTGCACGTCGTCGTCGTCGTCGCCATCATCATCTGCCCGGCCCCCTCCTCCCTCCTCCCTTCTCATCATCCTCATTCGGAGTCCCCTCCCTCTCTCTTCGCCTGACCTGACTCAGGCTGTACATACTGGCCGGGTCGCGTTCCAGGAGAGATCCAGGGATCGACTTCGAGGGGGAACAGGAAGGAGAGTGGGGGAGCAGGAGGAGGAGGACCAGTGTTAACCCAAGATTAATCAACGATGTTACAATCAACTCTCCCCCAAATCAACAACCTCTTCTTAGATCCCTGAAAGAATGTATTTTCATTACGAGAACTGTCCCATTACAGAAAACCGTCTGAGAACCCCAAACCGTGCCAAAACATCGTTCCTGGGACTTCACCGTGCATTGACGTCACTGGTGCGTCCTGACAATCTCAAACAGTGCCACGACACCATTCCTGGGACTTCGGCCATACGAATTCTTGAAACTGCTGCAAACTTGTAAGACGAATGTGCGAGGCGCTACGGCGATAGCCGCATTTTGAAAAGGAGCCGCCATCCATCCTTGAACCTGTTGAAAACTTGTAAGACGAATGTGCGCGGCACTACGGCGAGATCCACATTGTGAAAACGGCCCACCCTCCACCCGTGAAACTGTTGCAAGCTTTCGAACTGAATGTACGCGGCGATGTAGCGATAACCACAAGTTGAAAAGGTCTCGCCCGCCATCCGTGCAACTGCTGCAAACTTTTAAGACGAATGTGCGCAACGCGAAGACGAGAACCACACTTTTGGAAACCGCCCTCAATCCGTGACACTGTTGCAAACTTCAAGCTCATGCGAAACGCCCGGCCCGCCGTACCGCCCTACAGGCACGTCTGGGAGTGGGGAGATTGCCCATGCGAAGGACGGAGGGAAGGAGGAGGAGGAGGAGGGAAGGTGATGATGGTGCGAGAAAGCAAGCGGAAATAGACGAGGAGCAAAACTTGAACGACGACGACGATAACGACGACGAGGGGGACGAAGAGGAAGGCCGTCGCGGGACGGGAACACGCAGAAGCAAATTTCAGACCAAGCCCCCTCGCACAACCCCCTCCCCTATAAAGAAACAGGCGTCGGCACTGGCGCAGGCGCCAACGGAGAGGGGCCGAGCACGGGGTCGAACAAAACAGGAGGTGAGCGCAGGCACAGCGAAGAACGGGGCGAACATAGAACAGGTGGAGGAGGAGGAGGAAGAGGAAGAGGAGGAGGAAGATGAGGAGAAGGAGGACGAGCAGGAGCATGAGGACACGATCGAGCCCCAGCTAGCCAAACAGGGGGGGCGCACGAAGGGTGGCACAGCGCCCTGTGCCCTAAGTAGCTGTGTCACAGCTCGCTGCGCCCCCTCCTGCCGAGGTTGACGCGCTGCACGGAGTTGGAGAGCACCATGCGCTTGGACACCAGCCTCCCTCCAGACCTCCTGCTGTAGACATGGAGCACCTCGCCGTCGGCAGAGTCCACCGTGAAGTTGCCGGCAGGAGGGGCCTCTCCGAGGTACTCCTCTGGCCGCCCCCACTCTGGGACGAGGTAGATGTACACGGGCTTTTGCAGGTTGTTGTTGAAGACGACCGTCTGGGTCGCTTCGGCGGCGGCCTTTCTTATCCTCCCCAGGCGGTCTGCGAGCTCAACTTGTGTGCAACCCTTTCGCCAGGGCGTCCGGTAATCGTACTGGAACAGCCACATGTTAACTCCGCGCTTTTCCCCTCTGGTGACGATCTCGGACTCGTGCGCGGTGCGCTCGTCCGTTCGCATCGGGGCACTGTCCAGAGTGTTTGGGAAGAGCACCGCTGCTCCCCGCTTGGCTGGCACGCTCAAGTTCAGCCTCGGGAAGGAGGTGGCACCGCCCTCCAGGTCGTCTCCTGACAGGTAGACGAACAATGTGTAGATCCGAGCCCCGCACGGGAGGTAGAGGAAGTGCGGGCTGTTGTCGTGGTGCTCCTTGTAGTACATGCCCTCGCTGTAGCGCAGAGCCTGGGAGGACTCAAAATTCTCCTGAGGGACCCGGCAGATCCTTGACACCCGCTCGCGGAGGCCCTGGATGCTCGAGTCCTCGTCGCACCGGCCCACGCAGTAGGCCGTCTCTGAGTGCCGGTTCTGGTGGAACCCGGAGCCGCCGGCGACGCTCTGGAAAAAGCTCTGCGTCTCGTGGTCAAACATGTTCGCCTCGAGCGCCAGCGCCTCCGCCTCCGAGAGCAGCGCCTCGAAGTACACGATCCACGGGTCCGTGCTGAGCACCCTCGGCGAGTACTCCTGGAAGGCTTCACCCCGCAACAGCGGCACGAACGTCTCGTTCAAGTCCCCTGGCCTCCGCGCGGCCGGGTAGGCCCTGGGGCGCAGGCAGCCCTGCCGCGCCCTCTCCGCCTCCCGCTCCTCCTTGCCTCCGTCCATCGGCTGGCGGCGCGCTCCAGGGGGCAGCGCGGAGCGGGGAGCGGTCCGCCTTCCGAGGGGGCCCGGGGGGGGGCCCTCTCGGCGGGGCGTCCGAGAAGGCCCTTCGCCCTCGCAGCAGGCCGCCCCCCTCGCCCCGCCCCCCTTCTGAGCGCCGCCAGATCGTCGCCAGGCGGTCCCGCGCAATGGCGATGTCCTTGCTGCTGACCCCGTGCTTGCGCATCAGCTCCAAGACCGCCGGATCCCCCGCCTGGGCCGAAAACCTCCGAGCGCCTCCATCCTCGAACCTCGATCCCCAGAAGTCCGACGTCGCGATTTTCCCCCAGACGTCCCGACCCTTCTCCCCAAGGCCAGTTTCTCGTCCCTGTCATTTCTCTCGAGCGGCCCCGAAGCCCGAAATGGATCCCCAGATGCCAAAGTCGAAGAAACCATTCGAACCTCAGCAATCGATCCTCGGCCTCAATCCCCGCCAAGATCTGGAACCAGCTATTCATCCTGAGTCGCTGTTTGACAGAACCTGGGGACGGGGAAGACCTCCAGAGGACGAACAAGGAAGGACGAACGGCCGTCGCTTCTGACACTACCAGATCTGAAGGTCGGTCCCCGCGGCCTCGATCCCCGCCAAGATCTGCCTTGTCTTTTCCTGTCGGCTGCACGCAAGAGTGACCCTAGGCGAGAGTGACCTCTGGCGCGCGGCAGGGCGCCAAAACGAAGCACGACAGCCGCTGATATCGCATCGCATTCAGCGATCGGCGGGCCCAAGTCGGGTTTTGCCAAAGGTGTTCCTGATCCAAGGTGCCCCCAGCATTTCCAGGGAGCCACCCACGGCCTTAAGAGCACCCCTCACGAGGCCCAGAGGGCCCCAGGAGAGAGGGCCCCAGGGGCAGCAAAATGGCGCCAAAAGCTGGAGAGACCCTTGGCCAGAAACACCTTTGGCAAAGTCCGCTGCGACCGACCCTCCAAGCCCGCACCAAAGGTCACTCCAGCGAAGTGTAATTTTTACGTGTAGTCGACCTCGGCGGTCCCGCCAGGGGCCCCGGCCCGCGCCAGGAGGGCGAGAGGCCAGGGCCACGCGGGCAGTGCCAGCCAGCGGGCGCGCATCTTCCTCCACATTGTCGTCGCCGTCGTTGTCGTCGTCGTCGTCCTCCTCCTGGTATGTTTTGCACCCGACCCTCGAGGATCGGTTTCTACAGCTCTTCCGCTGTTCCTCCTCCTCCTCCTTTTCCTCCCTCTTCCTCCTCTTCGTTTCCCTCCCTTCTCGTCTCTTCTCCCTCTTCCTCTCTTCCCTTCTCCCTCCTCCCTCTTCACTCCTTGTCGCGGAGTTCGTGGCGCTCAGAGGCGGACAGGAGCTCGCCTGCTGTTGAAGATCCCAACATAGGATAGCTCGTACATCGTAACTCCTCCCTCCTTCTTCCTCTTTCCTCCCTCCTCCCTTCCCCCTCCTCCCTCCTCCCTCCTTCCTCCTCCCTCCTCCCTCCTCTTGCTTCTCCTCCGCCCTCCTCCTCCAACCTCCTGCTGCTCCTCCCTCCTCCTTCTCCTCCGCCCTCATCCTCCGCTCTCCTGTTGCTCCTCCTCCTCCTCCTCCTCCTTCTCTACTTCCTCCTCCTCCTTCCTCCCCCTCCCCTCCTCCTTCTCCTCCTCTTCTTCTTCCTCGCACGTAGCTAAGGCGGACCGCAGAGTTACTTCTCTACCTCGTATTGCTGTAGCAGCGGCGCTCTCGCAGCACGGGCACACTCGAAAATCGAAGTGTCCCTCGACCCTTTCTAGATGTAGTACATATTAAAAGCGAAAACCAAACGCTGGACCGATAGAGTGCTGGACCGATAGAGTGCGTTGCTCTGTCGTCATATCCCCAGCGAGAGCCAGTCTTCTGTCGAGAAACCATTCGAAAGGCTCGCTGGGCTTCCAAACTTGGACGACCCCTCCCCAGAGCAGCGGGCAAGAGAGGTAATACGCCTGGGAGTCAGCAGCAGGTGGCAAACAGCCGAATGTGCACTGACAGTCTCTTTGAGTCATCCTCCTCTCCGTCGTCCAACCCCCCACCAGAGTCTTAATCGTTGAGATCTGCCAGGCGGGAGACAGCACTCCCCATCATCATCCACGTAGCCGTTTTCCTTATAGATAACTCATCCCTGTCGCACCCCAATACCTGTCAGAAGGGCGGGCGGGGCGTCTCGCCTGAGACTTCCCCGCGATGTTTCATCCTGAAACTTTCACGGATGAAGGGCGGGTGGTTTTCAACATGTGGTTCCTATCTTGGAGCCCAGCACACTCTTCTTTCCAACTTGCAGCACCTGCAAAGGCGGAGGGTGGTTATGTTCAACACGTCGTGCTAAAAGTCTGCAGCAGCTTAAACACATATTCGTAGGACTGGTGTCCCAGAAATGGTTTTCTGGCACGAGTCACGATTGCCAGGACGCAACAAGTTAAGTTTATTCGCAGTGGTGAAGTCCCAGGAACGTTGCTATAGCACGATTTCGGACTGTCAGGACGTAACAGTCACGTTGATTCACGGCGTTGAAGTCCCAACACCTGCGTTTTGGCACGGTTGAAGATTCTGAGGTTGTCATGCGATCCGGCACATCCAGCAATGGAACATATACGCGCCTCGGGCTGAATTACGCTGGTCCTCCTCATCCTTTTTCTTCCCCCCTCCCCCTCCCCTCCCTGCCTCCTCCCCCCTCCTCCCTGCCCCCTCATCCTCCCTCCCCCTCCCTCCTCGCTCCTCCCTCCTCCCGCTCTCTCCTCTCCCCCTCTCCCCTCCCTCCGCATCCTCCCGCCCCCCCCACTCCTCTTACTTCCCTCCTCCACCTCGTCCTCGCTCACGCCTCCTCCCCCCCTCGTCCTCGTGACCCATCCCTCGTCCTCTTCCGCCAGCAAAGGCCCGCCGCGACAGGGGCCGTCGACAAAGGCGCGGCCGCCCCTTGGCCTCCCCGGCGGGGGCCTGTGCAAAAAAATGTCCACGGAAGGAAGTGACGAGGTCAGGGAGGGAGGAGGATGAGCACGGATCCTCTGTTGGGCCCACGTCCATTGGCAAAACTCCTGGGCCGGGCTAAGCAAATGGGGGGGGCCCAAATCATGACCCAATGCTGGGCAGGGTACGGACCCAGGGGCCTGGCAGAACAAGCATTGGTGCAGGGGTCGGACCCCCCCCCCGGCCCTACAGTCAGATGTACTACTGGCCCGTTTGCTGGACACCCTTACCCTCCCTCCTCACCCCGTCGCCCTTCTTAGCGATCCCTGGATCTGGGCTCCTATCCTAGGGGTTGGCGTCCCGTAAGGAAGCGAACTTGCTCGGGAAGAGGTCCACTGTGTCTGATCAGCGGGACGCGTGCAAGCAGGGGCAAAACGCGGGGTGCGTCCTCAGCGCGTGCGGGGGGCTACCGTGATACACTTGACGTACCACCACGGGCGCATGTCTGGCTGTTGGGCCTGACTTGGACTGCCTTCTCGCGGTCTCCGGACCCCAGCGGGGCCCCCGGGTCCCGCCGCGCTCGCCCCAAGCGACGTGCGGGCACGTTGCCACGGAACGGCGTGTCGTGGCAAAATGAAGTCCTCCTCCTCCTCCTCCTCCGAGTCCACCTGGGGTTCATTGCCACCACTGCGCTTACCAACCTTCGTTTCGCAGACGAAGTGCTCCTGGTCAGCTACAATCTCCCGCGCCTCACTATGATGTTCCACGACATCGTGCGCGCAGCACAACCACACGGACAAGAGCTACACCCTTCCAAAACCATGATACTGAACAACCAGACGAGACGGACCGGCAGAGCGATCTCACGCACGACGCGAGTCCAGGCCAAGGACATCGACATCCTCCCACACGATGGCAATATCAAATACCTCGGTCACTTCACAAACTTTCAAGACGCGATGAAGACGGATGTCGGACACACCGCACAAGAGCTGCATGGGCATCGTTCAGTTCACCCAAGCAGGAGCTGCCCAGCATCCACTACCCACTGGCGCACCGACTCCAACTCTTCCAACAACACAATAATCCCGACAACAACCTACCGAACAAAGACGTAGACGCTCACGGAACGTCTCCAGCAGCACCTGCGGCGGGCACAACGACGCATCCTTCACATGATAATCAGAATCCAACGATGACGCACCAGCCACCAACTGCACCTTCGCTGCAACCACGAGACCAAAGATGCCGACGGCACGAACGACGAAACACTGGGCAACGACCTCTGCTCCAACAACACCAACGACGACGTCGGCAATAACCCGCCACCACACGACGCAACTGCAGATCCGGACAAACACAACGATTGCGATGACGTCTCCGTCAATGTGGACATGGACATACACGTGGAGGCCTGTGTCGACTACATTCAACGTGCTACGCGGCGCGCAGATCATCTCATGAAGCAACACGCGATGAACAGTTGGACGATCATCCACAGGCGGAAGTCACAGCGCATGGCTACAAGGGTTGCCAACCACGAGCAAAAGGTGGACATGGAGAGCCCTACACTGGCATCCAGGAGAACACCAACGACAGCACGGTACTGCCAGCCAGGCGGACAACGCAAAAGCTAGGACGACGACATCACCACGCACCTACAACAACACAGACCCGACCTGCACCCGACACCCGACACCCACACCAAGCTCCGCAAAAGGCCAACCTAACGACCTCACTTGGCCTCAATCGGCACAAAACACAATCACTTGATCGACTCTTGGGCACTATAATACCGAGACGACACGTGTAAACACTTCGTCGGAATCCGCATCCGTATCCGCCACCAGAACTTCCACAACCAAGATTTCCTCCCCATGCCCCTACCTTCGATCTCAACTTGTCGTTCGCCTCGCTGTCACGATGCACGTCTGAATCTTCCAAGAGGCCATGGTCTATCCCACCTGGTCTCACCTAGGCCAGGACGGTAGTCCACAGAAGTGGTTCGTTCGACCGTTCCTCCTCCTCCTCCTCCTTTTCCTCCTCCCCTCCCTGAAAACTCACTCACTGTCCTCCTCCTCCTCCTCCTCCTCCTCATCCTCCCCCTAAAATCCGACAGCTACACGGACGGGGGGGCCTGCGGCTTTCAACATGTGGTTCGCGCCTTAGCTCCGCGCACATTCGCCTTCAAACTTTCAAACAAATATCAGGATGTACGGGCCGGTCGTTTTCAAGATGTGGTTCTCGCCTTAGCTTCTCGCAGGTTCGTTCCAGACATTTCAAAGAATTCAAAGGATGGACGGTCCTGTTGCATTCAAAATGAACCCAGCGCGGCCCCAGTGTGTGAGAAAACTTTATCTTGCATGGGCGCATTGCTTGACATTGTTTGGCATTGTTTTTCATTGCTTGGCGTTGCTTGGCATTACTTGGTACTGCTTGTGGCTCCCTCCTTGTCCTGCCTTAACGTTCTCTGGGCCAGATTCCCTGTGGCCTCGACTGCCCTCTCGAAGAGATTCCAGCAGAACCGCTTCGCCGCCTTCTGGGTGTACTCGCCCACCACTTTCTGTGCGTACTTCTCCGCTGGCACGCCCTGCGGCGCTGCAGGTAGCTCCACCTTTACCCTCGAATCAGGAACTCCCCGATGACGGCGTCGGAACTCCCTCGGGGATGTTCTTGAGTGCGTGTGCGCCCTTGCCGTCGTCCATTCTCGCTTCACCTCTTGCTACTGCCTTCGCGCTTTCTTCTCCCCCCCCTGCGCTGCTTTTGTTACTCTTGACTGTGTTTCACCGCAGTTGCCCCGAGTCGGACGCGAGAGCCCTACGCCTTCTTGCAGGGAAGAGCGTTTACTGGTGACGCTGGGCACTCGCTCCCCAGAGGCCTCCCAGAGAGAGGGAATCGCGCCGCCGACGCTGGCGAAGCTCACTGCGCCAAGTGTACAGCCCTGGGGGCGCGCCAAAGTGTCCTGCGCGGCCGCCAGCCGTACTTCGCACGCTGCGAGCATGGACGCGGCTGCACCCCGTGCCGGCCGCCGCTGAATGCCGGCCGGACGCCGCGGCTTGCCGGTCGGTGGCCGCAGGCCGTAGGCCGTGCGCACCTGCCGGCCGATGCTACATGCGGTGCTCCGTTCGCACTGCGCCTTCGGGAGCGGCCCACAAGAGGTCGCTGGGGATGAGCTGGGTGTCATGCCCCTCGGTCTGTCCGCAGCACTTAAGCACGCCTGGGCGACTCAGAGGTGCAGGTGGGGAGAAGGAGTAGGTAGAGGTAATTAGAAGTGGGAGGTGGGAGGTATGAGGAGAAGTAGGAGCAAGAGCAGGAGGATGAGGAGAAAGAGTAGAACGAGGACGACGAGAAGGGCGAGGCGCAGGTGGAGGAGGCAACGATCAGGAGGAAGACGACGAATAAGAGAAGGATAACACATAAGAGCAGGAGGATAGTTTGAGGAGCAAGTAGGAGCAGGAAATAGAAGAAAGGAGGAGGCCAACAGTGCAGAACGGGGGAGAAGGAGGCAGAATGAGGCAGAAGGAGAGGGAGCACCTGCCCCATCCTACTCCCGCTCCCCCTCCCCCACCCTCACAATCCCCTCCGCCCAAGTGCCCAGACGTCGTGACTTTTCGCAGCTGGCGTTCCGTCCCGAGCCGTGCTCTGACGGCCCTGGGGCCCGAGAAGGGTCCCCCAATGCAGAACATTTCGAAAGAATCGTCCGTTGCCAGGTGGCGGCATCCGAACCCTGCCCCCACCAACCATCGATTCTCCTGGATCGGTGGGATGCGGGGGTAGCGCTCCGATTCCGCCGCCTGTTTGACGAATTCCGAACCCTACCCCCGCCGCCCATTGCGTTGCCTTGCTCATCGGCGAGGGCAGGGCTCGCCTCTCGCCGCCGAGTGGTGTTTCCTTCTCGCGACTGGGCGGGGTCCGGGCCCCTCCGTGGGCCCAGCGGGCGCGACCCCCCCGCGCGGACAGAGCGGACCCTCACCCGCCTGGCACACCCGCCCCCCTGGGCAGGCGGCCCCCCCGCGCGCCTTGGGCAGGGCGGCCAGCCGCCAGGTCGGCACCACCATGGCGCAGACCAGCACGCCCAGCGCCTCCGCGCGAGGAGGGCCCAGGGGGCCCAGACCTCCCACGTCTCGAGCACAAGCAGAGCGGAAGCCTTCCCCGACGTTCGAGCTCTGGGAGACCTCACCACGCCCTGGGGCTATCAGAACACGACTCGGGATGAGAAGCTGGGCCTGGTGAGCGGGAGCGGGCCGGGATTTCCACGGACCCCGTGATGAGAAACATCAAAACATCGGATGTCTGGGGAGGGAGACCGGCGACGCCCCAGAGGTTGGAGCATCGGGGTTCGAGAGCCGAGGATCGAGCAGGAGCATCGGGGCTAGGACCAGAAAACAAGCCAAGACGGACCCCGGGAGGGTTCAGGTACCGTTTTTGACCGGGGGCCTTCTGAGAAGGCAAGTAGCGTCTGAGGGGCCCGAGGCTTCCGAGAACACCTCGCACATCACCACTGTCTGCGCGCCGCCAGGGGGGGAGGATGACGAGGAGGAAGAGGAGGAGGATGAGGAAGAGGATGACCAATGCAAACCCAAGATGTATCAACGATGTCGGAATACGTACATACCCTCACTCCAAGTTCCCTCTTCATATGCCCCTACAAGGGTTCATGTCCACTGAAGGAAATGCCCCGTTGGGAGGCAACCGTTTGATATCCTGGCGTGCGCCAAAACGCCATTGCCATGACTTCAGCGCCACGAGTCAACCTGACTGTTGCGTCTTGGCGATCCTGAACCGTGCTGGAACACGATTCCTGAGACGTCAACACCGCAATTGATCGTAATGCGCCCTGACAGTCGTAACTTGTACATGAGCATCATGTTTGGTACTTTTGCTGCGGGAGCGAATGCAAGTCTTGCAACTGTTTAAACTGAGTGTGCGCGGCGCTAGAAAACAAAGACCACATTTTGAAAACGAGCCGCCCTCCATCCGTGAAGCTCTTGCATATTTTCAACACGAATGTGCGTGGCAATCAAACGAAGGCCAAATCCCACCAGCACTCTGGCCGTAGATGGTTTAGGGCTATTCCTCTTCTACCCCTCCCTCTTCACTTCTGGGGAAGGGTTTACCCCTCGCCCCTCCCCCCTCCCCTGGACCTGGACGGGGCCGGTCGCGGGTAGCTAGAGCGTCCAAAACGGCCTCGGCGAGGAAGCCAAGATCATGGGTGTTACTAGGATGTTGGCCCCATTTTGGCCTCTTGGGGGGGCAAGGCTAAAAGAAGCCCCCCTCTTCTTTGATCGATGTCCTCCAAGATGGCCCCAAGAAGAGCCCGGGAGACCCCAAGAGGCCCCAAGATGGCCCCAAGATGGCCCCAAGAGGTCCCCAAGAGGCCCCCAGGAGGCCCCAAGAGGACCCCAAGCGGCCCAAAGAGGACCCCCCGAGGCACTGAAGACGCCAAAGAGCCCCCAAGGACCGCCAAGAGACCCCCAAGACGTCAAGAGGCCACCAAGAAACGCCCAAGAGATACCCCAAACGGCTCCGAAAGGCATCCAAGAGACCTTTGGCCCTTTTGTTTGCCCTCCTCCTCCTCCTCCTCCTCCTCCTCCCTCCTCCTACTCCTTCTCGTCCTCCTCCTCCTCCTCCTCCTTTTTTTCCTCCTCCTCCTTTTTTTCCTCCTCCTCCTCCTCCTCCTCCTCCTCCTCCTCCTCCTCCTCCTCCTCCTCCTCCTCCTCATCCTATTCATCATCCTTTTCCCCAGTCCCATCCATCCAGCCTCCTCCTTCTCCCCATCCCTCCTTCGCACGGCTCGGCCGCCCCCCTGTTTGCTCCCGCACATCCCTAATCACCTCAATTCGTTTGAACATTGTTTCTAAATGGGTTGATGGGGATTCTTCTGGTCGCAGCCGCAAGCGAAGACGCAGGCGGCGTCAAAGGCCGACCCGGGCAACGGGCGGAACCGAATTACCCAGCGAACGCACTCACGGCTGCCGAGGCTGCCGCCGAGGGAGGCTGAGTGGCGCCGGGGGCTGGCTGGTGGGGATACTTTATGTTTACCGACCGCAAGCGGACAGCCGCGCGGCGTCATCAGTCAAATGCAACCAGGCCTACGTGCAGGGCGTAGCCTAGGCAACAGCTGGCAAGCGGGGAGAGACTGGTGGGGGTACTTTTTTGATCGCGACCGCAGGCGGGCACCCGCGCGGCGTCCGAAAGTCGTAAGAGGAGTGCAAGCACTGCTGTCGCAAGCGAGGCGCGGAAAAAAGGGCCACAGAGGTGGCGAAAGCTACCCAAAGCAAAGACAGGGGCGGACGAAAGCGAAGAGGAAAACGAGGACGAAAAAACGGCAACGGCGACGAGACACAGAGAAAGAAAGACAATACCCGAGAACAAGAGGGCTAAGTCGCAGCTCGTGCGCAGACAAAGTAGTAGACGTCCGCACATTGCCGAACAGCCTGTGCTTGTCGAAATTCTCAACATACCCGAACCAATTCAATCGGATGCGACGGTGTCGCGAGAGGCGAGGACACCACGAAACCGACCTACGGCGGCAGGAGCCGCAGGCGAGAACGCCAGCGGCGAGTGAGGTCCGAGCGGGCCGCGCGGGGGCCTAATGACCCAGCGCGGAGCAGAGCAGGACCTACCGCCAGGGGAAGTCTCAGCGCCGGGGCTGCAAGAGGTGCCGGGGGCGGGGGCTGCAAGCTGCCGGGGCTGCCAGGGAGCTGCAAGCGTGCGACAACCTGGAAGCAGGGTCACCAAGTGTGAAGTGAGCTGCAGCGAATACTGGTGGGGATACTTTTTTCCCCAACCATCCTGTGGTGTTGGGCCCTCGTTTTGAAGAGACGGTGCCCCGCGTTCCTCTCCTCCTCCTCCTCCTCCCCCTCATCCCTCTTCCCATCGTCATCATCATCATCATCATCATCATCATCATCATCATCGTCATCATCATCATCATCATCCTCATCATTATCATCATTATCACCATTATCATCGTCATCATCATCGTCATCGCCACCCACGCCCATTTCGGCACACCCCTTATACGTTTCGTGGCCCCATACGGAGCTCCACCGAAGGCCCCAGTGGCAGGGTCCGCATGCCTCCCCATTACCCATTTCGGCACACCTCTCACACGCTTCGTGGCCCCATAGGGAGCTCCACCGAAGGCCCCAGTGGCAGGGTCCGCATGCCTCCCCACCACCCATGTCGGCACACCCCTCACACGTTTCGTGGCCCCATAGGGAGCTCCACCCAAGGCCCCCATGGCAGGGTCCGCGTGCCTCCCCACCACCCATTTCGGCACACCCCTCACACGTTTCGTGGCCCCATAGGGAGCTCCACCGAAGGCCCCAGTGGCAGGGTCCGCATGCCTCCCCACCACCCATTTCGGCACACCCTTCACACGTTTCGTGACCCCATCGGGAGCTCCACCGAAGGCCTCAGCGGCAGGGTCCGCATGCCTCCCCACCACCTATTTCGGCACACCCCTCACACGTTTCGTGGCCCCATAGGGAGCTCCACCGAAGGCCCCAGTGGCAGGGTTCGCATGCCTCCCCACCACCCATTTCGGCACTCCCCACCACCTATTTCGGCACACCCCTCGCACGTTTCGCGCGCGAAGCGGTGCAGGAGGGAGGCGACGGCCCTCGCCAGGGAGCTCGGCTTCAGCGAGTTCATCCGCGAGGCCTGACCTGGGAAGCGGCCCCGCACGAGCCAGCGGCGCGCGCTGGTTGTCGCTGACGCTTGGATGACCCCAGCTCGTCGTCGGGATTTCTCGCCAGAGGATGACCGGCGCCTGTCGGGGGATTTCACCCAGATCGCGCAATTTTCGCATCGCCTCGCCACGCAGCACGGGGGAGCTATCCGTTTACTTTGAGTCGCAGTGGACGACCCCCGCGCGTCGATGGGATTCCCTCGGGATGACCAGACCGCGTCGGTGGGGGCTCCCCGGCCACTTTCGAGCGGCTCCGCCTGCGCAATGCACTCTGCGTGGCTCGCTATCGGCCCGGAGGCAGAAATGTCACCCCTCGTCTCTCGCTCCTCTTGCTTCCTTTTGCTTCTTGACCGCGGGCCCCCCCGGTCTCGTCTCTGCCGCTGCTGACCTGCCTTCGACATCTACACGGTGTCTCCGCCACCTCTTCCGGCGTGCCCAGTAACAGGTCTCATGCTGCGATGATGATACTGATGTGTTGGCTCGCCCCAGTGAGCTCTCCTCCTCCGCCCGCCACCCCCTGCCCGCGCTGCCCTGTGCCTCGTCCATGCAGTGGCGCGGTGCCTATGAGAAGAGGGGCCTAGTTTGCGTGCCCCCTCCTTCGTCTCATATCCGCGCGGCACTCGCAGCTGCATATGGCCGGGTCCTTCGCCGAGCTAATTTGGTCAGCGGCTCCGAGGCAACGGACAGGGGGCGGAAGCGGCGTCTGGGCCACGGTACGGGGCTACTTTGCAAGACAATTTGCCGCCAGAGTCGGCGGACAAAGCTCGCATCTGCAAGACAAACTCGCAGTTGCACGTACACGGAACAAAATGAACTAAATTCTCAGGGCTGTACAGGCGTTGCAGGTTGAACCACTCAGCGCCCAGTCCTCAGTACTCCGCCTCCCAGTGCCGAGGGGAGCCATGCGGCTGCGCCCAAGCTAGGCGCAACTGCGATGCCGATCCCTGAAGCGAAGAGATCCGCTGGCGTGGTGAGCACCGCCGTCGGGCGGCGATGACGTCTGCGCTGCCTGGCAGGGGGGTCTTGCTGCAGTGGAGGCAAGTGGGAGGCCGGTGGGGTGAGTCGCCTGCGGGGCGCCAGACCCCGAACGCCCACGACGACGTCTGCAAGTCGCGGAACTTGGTGCAGCGCACTGGCCGGAAGCTGGTGGATGAGCCCGGGGTGCTGCACCTAGGCTGAACCACTCCGTGGCGACCCAGCGCCCGAGAGACCACCCCGCAGTGCATGAAGGACACAAGCGACTGTGGGCCACGCAGCGCGCGCCGGCACGGCGCCAAGCTTCAGAGAGGGTGGGGGGGGGGGGGGGGGCAGGCGCGGGGCGCGCCGCCAGCGGGGGAGTGAGGGGGGGGCGGCACTGGTGATAAGGCTGCCTTCTGCGGCGTCATA